GCATCTCGTCATAAATTACTATTAATGGCATGCAAAAGTGATTAATACCACAACGGCAACCGTTGTCAGTGTTCGCGGTGTGTTGCATAGCGATGCTTTGTAGCACAATTAAGCTTTATCTACACTCGACAGCAAATAAATCGCACCACCCGCGACAAGCACTTTCAAACGTATGCATCCCCACTTCACACCAATATTGGTACCATTCAAAAGCCTAGTTCTAAACTTCATTTCATTATAGGAAAGGTTTTTACCCCAAAAATGTTTCTTTAGAAGGATCCAGAGTCACTTCTTCAAAAAATAGATAGTTACGCTTGAGCCAACTTTTATNACAAAATTAAGTAACTTTGACCCGTTATAATTCTTAAACTACTGGTTCAAATTGAATGAAATTTTTAATATACCGTGTCTTTACAATGCCTGCATAGCTAATGAAAATTCAGCCTTCTAGTTTTATCCACAACGAAGTTACAGGCGGTCGAAAATGGCCTGAATTGCTTCGAGAAAAGGATGGTACGGCCGTGCCGCTTTTTTGCTCGACTTGGTGGGGGCACTGCCGTGCCCCCAGATGAAGTCCAATAAAAGTGCATGAGGTTTGAGATAATGACGAACACGAAGTTATTACATACATTGCAGGTTAAATATTGTTTTCAATATCACTGAAACCCACCTGACCCGATCCCAACTGTCCTCAATAGGCATCTGTGTTCGCTGATCCAAAGAAATGTTCAAAGATAATTTTATGCTTCACTAAAGATCGCGCTCATGAATAAAGATAGGCGCTGGATCGCATCTCGTCATAAATTACTATTAATGGCATGCAAAAGTGATTAATACCACAACGGCAACCGTTGTCAGTGTTCGCGGTGTGTTGCATAGCGATGCTTTGTAGTACAATTAAGCTTTAATCTATATTTCAATCCGTTTATAAATAAAGATGTAGGTATTTTTCAATATGTAACGTCACGTAAATCTACACTTAACTTAAAGTATATAAAATTCAAGCCTGTGATTGATCTACGAGTGATTAAAATTCGACAAACCTTGAAATCAATTGCTTGACTTTGAACCTATTTCAGGCTTCAATTCAGAATATCGATAAAGTAAAATTTCAGAATTTCTGTAATTATTTCGGATAGTCTAGACCACCAGCCTTTAGATTATTGTGTCGAAATTGGAAACTCCACTTTCCCCAGCAAATGTACAGAAAATGAAACTTCTGGAAACAAAACAGATAAAAACATAAGCCTCGTGCATCTGCCCAGACCATCTGTTGTCGCGACGGATATTTTCATCCTGCTTGAGATCCCCCGTTATTGAGCGGGTTCGGGTGCCGACGTTAGTCATAACACGGACAACAGTATCTTGTATGCATGATTATGGGGTCATATCAGATATCTGTACATAAACAGACACAAGTTTAGTCTTATGTCTTTGACTCTATGTGATATAGGTAATAGGATGCTATGGTAGCAACTTCTTACAAGACTAGCTTTCCGCCCGCGGCTCCGCATGCTTGGAATTTTTCGGTTTTTTATGTAACCTATGACACTCAGCAATAATGTGGCTTTCTATTGGTGAAAGAATTTTTAAAATTGGTTCAGTAAATCCCGAGATTACCCCTTACCATTTAACAAATATACAAATACACAAACTATACCTCTTTTTAATATTGGTATAGATGTATTTCATCTTTTATAATAAAACGGATTTTTCATTTACCAAGAACAAAACTACATCGATCACATCTCCTACACAATAAAAGGTTCCTAATAAGCCATTATGATGCTCCAATTATTCAATCAATTAACAACAAATATCTAATTAATTACAAAAATACAAGTTATTTACGAGTGAGTACCGTATTAATTATCAGATCAATAACATTAATATTAAATGATAAAAATAGTTTGTTTGTAAAATTAATCTCTTTTTTTTTTCAAGATCTGTGCTATTATACTCGTAGGTAATATTGTACTCGAAAAAAGATAATTTCCCGATAAAACCGTAGGAAAATGGTAAAAAAGAAAACTGTTTTTAAACAAGTAAGTAGGCAGGTAATTAAAATCGTAACAATTAGTTACGACCTACATACTCTCATTGCTCAGTTGTATTGCGAATTGTATCCGCCATAAATACCATTAATACGGCAATTAAACTAAACACCTCATACTATATTTCAATAAGATAATTTAACTAGAACATATGAGTTATTGTAATCGAGCACACTCTCATACGAGTTGATTCAGAATCAGATACATTTTATGTGCTCTTTTTCAGGTATAAGGGTTTACACAATTTGGTTTTAAAAGTATTAAGAGTGACTGAAAGGTCTACACATTAATGCTCTTTAATTGGTAATTTGATGCCCGTTTTCACCATCAATCCCTAATGTTTAAGTTACCCCTATGGTAACACATAACAGGAATTTTGTTTTAGGGGTCACTTAAAAATTAATGAAAACGGCCATAAGTCTGTCTTAGATAAGATATTAATTCTTTAGGTATCCATAACTTACTAACCTAGGGCATAAACCCTTGAAAGCTATTCAGCAACGCAGCAACTTTAAAATATCATTGAAATCGCGTTTTTAACGCGCAGACAAGTCTCTGTCACGTGCAAATGTAGAGCGATTGTTGAAGTATCTAGGATTAGTTGTTGCGATTATTTGATTTGTGGTAGGATTTGAGTCCATATTGATTTATGTAAAATCGTAAAATGACAACATTCCAACAGCTGATAGCATATGATAGCGGTAATCCGGCACAGCGCCAGGATTACTGATTAGGTTGTTATGTTTACATACACGATTTACGAGGAATCTTTCCTTGAGAGATAAAATAATTTTGATTATTTAAAAAAATTGCTTAAACATTCGTTAAACATGAAGATAGGAATTTCATGTAAAAAAGAGAGACCATTAAATTCTCTTGCAACTCAACGGTTAGTCAAGTGAATGTTGTGCATTGAAAGCGCTGCTGATTGAAACAGCTGGTAATTCATCATTTCAGCCATAGGACGTCCACTGCTGAACATAGGCCTCCCCCAATGCTTTCCATGTTAATCGATTGGTAGCGGCCTGTGGTTAGAGCTAGTAATTAAGTGATTGAAAATCCCCTCAGCCTACATAATAATGGAAATCAATAGATGAGGATGTTACCAGTCAATGAACTTCAAGTCCCGCTAGTATAGCTCACTATTGTAGCATTGCGAATTTCCGCATCATGACCGCGCGGGCTCGCGAGCGCTCCCGCGATAATGCCGCTATCGTCCAAGCACCTCGCTAATAATAACTTATCTAATTGTGCGACTGTTTACAGTTAAAATTAACTTGCACTATGTACTGAGGCAGCCTGTTATTCCACGACACAAACGGAGGTACTGATACCGAGACCACTATGACTAATAGTTATATGCTGTTGTTTATGAACTGTCCGTTATCCAGTCAGGTGTTTACGGCTGAGTGCCTTCTGCAATCTACACCACATATCGGTGAAGTTTAATTAAATCCTAACGGCTATAGTTAAGCAACTATTGCTTGAAAATTGGGTTTGAATTGGATTTAGACTCAAAGAGTAGTGCTCCTACTCGCTACCTACGCTTCCATGTCTATGTCAGCACACATAGATCAAGATTATCGTATCCTTGAGCCCAATAAATAAACAATCCTGTATTAATCCAAGCATAAATCCCAACATCCTCGGCCAGACGAGCAATTGGATGATTGCCCCAGTCGCGCAACCCGCCGCGATCGCCGGAGGTCGCCGGCTCTTTGTGTGCAAATGCCCACCTCCTGTTTGTATGGAAATGGAACACGCCAACTGGCTCGTGAAACGGCCTGCGAATCATCTAAGACAGTTTAAAGTCACTTGAAGCTCATCTAATAGTTTTAGTTCAGTCGAATCTCCAGAAATACCACCTACTCCTTAGTCCTTATTTATAGCATCTATGCAGATATTTCCTACAGACAAGTATACATCTTGCGCAATGCAAAACTCGATTGTCAACTGTAGTATATACCTAATAAATAAATAAATAAAATGCTGACAAATTTCAATTAATTCAAGACTACAATTCGTGCTAGCGAATCTTCTCCGAATTGTTTAATGTGAACACAATGCGTCATTGTTCTAATTTCTCTGACAACATCCCCAGGTATTAACAGAATTATGTCTGAACTTAAGTTATCGTAATTAAATTATGAAACTATTCCGCCGTCTTATCGGCACGTGTTCTCCGGAGCTTGATGAATCCATACATAAATTAAATTGGAATTCAGTCAAGGACGTTGCCACAAGTCATTAGTTGTACTCGCTTTTGCATTATACATACAATCATTGCTCCAGTATTGGCTTCAAACAAAAAGATTGTATTGATAACATTAATGGTCACGACAGAAGTAATGAACGGATTAGGGGAGGGAGAACGTTTACGGATTCTTTGATGAGCTATAAACCCATTTATTGTGTTTATTTACGGTCCTCATTCCGATTCTGATTGGATTTGTTACGTAAATTGTCTGATTTAATCATTTTAGGTCGATCCTTTATTTCCAGGCTAAAAACGTTCACCGCTGAATGTAAGCTCGCCTAACAAAAATTATTTGAGCGGCTTCGTATTATATCCGATCTGAATCCGTGAAAATATGGTATGGATTACTTTAGTAGTACTATTTGTATGGTAGTTTACGTTTTCTCTAGCTAGTTTTCTAGATTCGGATCGGTTATAGTGCGATACCGCTTCTAAGAGTAACAATCCCTCCACTAATCCTGCCGAATCTCGGGAGAGCGCAATCAGTCACATACCTTCTTACATCGAGCCCGTCCCCACTTAGACGGACCATCTTGTTTTCTCGGTCCGTACGAAGTGACGGATATGCCAGTGGCAGTATAATTTATATGACTGTTCACATTTACACGGATCGTCTAGCTTCAAACCTCTTACTAAGTAACCATACTGCAGTCAACAGCGATTAAAATTCCGATTATTTTGTATTCCAGGTAGAGCAACGCGATGTGCCGGGCATCGACTGCGCGCACCTGGCCATGGACACGGAAGAAGGCGTGGAGGTGGTGTGGAACGAGGTGCAGTTCTCGGAGCGGAAGAACTTCAAGGCTCAAGAGGACAAGATTCAGATGGTGTTCGACAACCTCACGAGGCTCGAGCACCCCAACATCGTCAAGTTCCACCGGTACTGGACCGACACACACAATGACAAGCCGAGGGTGAGTTTACACCATTATTTTTTTAAATAATAAATAGCTAGTTCTCTAACACCATTATACTATTCTAATAACCAGCTCATTTCATATTTTTCACAAACTGTCTTCTCTCTTTTTCTCATTTCGTGATTTGTTTTACTCGTATATTTTATGCCAATGTAGTTAGAGCTATGTATTTTAATATGAAAATAAAGTGTTGTTCATTTTCCATCTTCTATTAATAGCTTAATCAACTGAAGTCCTAATTGTCTTGTAATTTAATGAAGCTATGATCCCATTCACTAACACCTAATTAAAATCTATTTTTGTTCAACAGGTTTTGCAACGATAGAATCCTTAAATTCCTTGGTAGGAATATTTAATCATAAATAACCGTCTTTGTTTTCAGCGTGGGCGCGGCTGATTTGGCTCTCGATGAAGACCCGAAAGTTTTCTATAAAATTTTCTTTACAATTGGTTTTAAAAGCAATAATTTATACATTCCAGGTGATATTCATAACGGAGTATATGTCATGCGGCTCGCTAAAGCAGTTCCTGAAGCGGACGAAGCGCAACGTGAAGCGGCTGCCGCTGCAGGCGTGGAAGCGGTGGTGCACGCAGATCTTGTCAGCGCTCAGGTGAGACCAGTAGAAACTGGCAATCCTGCAAAGGAATAAGGTCTTCTAACAGTAATACCTCATTGTCTTTATCTCAGGATTATGAGCAAGTGTGTTTTTGTACGGATGTTTTTAATAATATACGTTCAGTGCGATTACCATGAGTTTACGTTAGGTGTGCTCGCTAGCGAGTATGTCAAAAATTTCTATGAAGATTTTATTTCTTGAAAGTAGCCGCTAGGGGCGCTGCACAATATGTCATACATTAAAATGTCATTTTTTTACGCAGTCGCTAGCGAGCACACCTAACGTAAACTCATGGTAAGCACACAGGTCACAATAACTGTCGCATACAGATTTTTTTTTCTTTGCCCCATGAAAATTGCATTGTCCCTAATCCACGTCTTTTATTTTTATATGTTGTATTAAATCTGTATGCGACAGTTATTTTTAAGCTTGTATAACATACTCGTTAGTTATTTCAAAAATGACTTGACTGTCGATAAAATCAAGTAGGTCACGGTTTGTTTGAATGCGTCCGACAGCTACCTGCACGGTTGCGTGCCGCCCATCGTGCACGGCAACCTGACGTGCGACACCATCTTCATCCAGCACAACGGGCTCGTGAAGATCGGCTCCGTCGCGCCCGACGCCATCCACCACCACGTCAAGACCTGCCGCGAGAACATGCGCAACATGCACCTTATCGCCCCGGAATACGGATGTAAGTACACCCAGCACTCGTCCCCTCCGCAAAACTTACGGTTTCTTCTGCTTGGATTCTTGCATTACCTCTAGCTTTTTCTGCAACACTTTCAAACGATTAATCGGTGCCATTTTTTGCTCAGTGTAGAAAAAGCGAGAGCTGCGTACCAGGATCTTAGCAGGAGAAGCATCACTATACGTATTTATTCCAATTTTGTTTCCCTCGAATCAGCATCGCAAATGGTGACACCAGCGATGGATATCTACTCGTTCGGAATGTGCGCTCTGGAGACCGCCGCTCTAGAGATTCAGGGGAACGGAGACTCGGGCAGCCACGTCACGGAGGAGCACATCGTGCGAACGGTCGAATCCTTGGAGGAGCCGAGACAGAAGGATTTCATATACAGGTACTTTTGAGCAGGTTTGTGGCGTCTCACCGCCAGGTAAGTGGTGCGGGTGAGTTGACTGTGGCTGTGACTTGTAAGGGTTGCCAGGTCCAAAAACACAAAAGCCGGACTGTGTGCTTAATTTGGCCGGACATTTTACCCTAAAAGCCGGACATGCGACAATTAGTGAGCTCACGAGTGAGTACTATCATCATCGGTTGCCTAACGTCCTGATGCGTGCGTGCCTTATTCTGTGGCTCGACTTTCGCCTGGCGCGGCAGCCAAATAAAAAGCCGGACAGGCCGGACACGCAATCAAAAAGCCTAACTATGTCCGGCTTTATCCGGACACCTGGCAACCCTGTGACCGTGCTGTGTGTGAGTCGCGGGCGGGCGCTAACCGGCGGGCGGTGCTTGCAGGTGCATTAACAAAGACCCGGCGCAGCGGCCCACAGCGCGCGAGCTGCTCTTCCACCCGCTGCTGTTCGAGGTGCACTCGCTGAAGCTGCTGGCGGCACACACGCTCGTCAACACCACTGGTGAGACTTTACTTCAACTGAATTTGAACTTTATAGCCACGATAGCCGAACGGTGAAGGGGTCGGAGTGGCCGACTCGAGATACGAGGAACGCGGGTTCGAATCCCACCGCCGCTCGACTATTGTGGTGAGCCCACTCGTAACACAAGCTTATTTAGCTTAACACGAGGGGCTAATGGGACTATTAGTAATTTGGGCAATACAAATTGGTAATAATCTTTAAAAAAAAAAGAATTAAGATCCTATATTTTAGCCTAGGCGTAAACCACCGACTTTTAGTTGGCCGATAGTTAGGCTCGACTCTAATTTGTATAAAGAATTGGCCGATACCAAATCGGTGTACTATTGTGCGCACTTTCATACAAATCTCCATACTGATCAACAGCCCGAACCAACTATCGGCCAAATGAAAATCGGTGGTCTGCGCGTAGGCTAAAAGTTGCTTCATTTGTTTCTACACCTTTTTTACGTGCTACTCGTATAATATTCATAATTTGATTTAACTTGTAATCGGCTGGACAAATTAATTGTCCGAGATATGTAAATTATTTAATGGAATCATTTTTATTACTCGTAACGTACACGCAGTTGGCGATAAAACCGCTGTATTTACGACTGTTTAAGTTGCGGTAAACGTGCGGGTAATCTGTCACTGATTTGCACACTTTAATGTTGAGTGAAAGTGATCACGCACTTGTTACTTTATATTGATATGATGTAACATTTTTAAATAATGATTATTTTTTATGTTAACTATGTTTTTTCTGTAAAGTTTCTACGTATTTTGCTTGGTGGAATTTCAGCAATGAGTTTTAACAGTTAGATTACAGATTACCGAACAGAATAATCTGCTCGCGAATTCCGCTGTCTTAATGATAGTGATCATGAAAGTGTAAAGGTACAAGTTCGGAGTTGACTACTCGCAGTAGCAACAGCTAGGTTAACACTTATCGTCTGAATTTGTAGCTTAAAAAACACACATGTTCCATCAAATATTAAAGCTGTCAAGTAAATGTGCTTACATGGCATCTAGATCCGGCTCGAAGGACCAAAATGTAGAGGCTGTGTACCTTTTACCTCTACAGCTATTTGATGTTGAATGTAGTTGTATCTTGGTCACGGGATGTATGTGCTAATAGCGGTGTTTTTATGAGTAGTGTAGAGCGGATGCCTGTGACGGTTTCCCACACGCGCTGCGTGTTTCGAACGTCCGAAGCGGGTACATGATCCGTGCCGTCTTAGCGTAGGCTCTAAAGCTTAAGTAACAGTGGTGTAACTTGTGTTGCGATGTGACCTTTTACCTCTACAGCTATTTGATGTTGAATGTCACGTCTCTTGGTCACGTAGTTGTCTCTTGGTCACGGGATGTATGTGCTAATAGCGATGTTTTTATGAGTAGTGTAGAGCGGATGCCTGTGACGGGTTACCACACACCTTGCGTGTTCCGGACGTCCGAATCTGGTACATGCCCCATGCAAGTCGTAGCGTAGGCTCTAAAGCTTAAGTAACAGTGGTGTAACTAAGTTGCGATGGTGCCGTCTTAGCGTAGGCTCTAAAGCTTAAGTAACAGTGGTGTAACTAAGTTGCGATGGTGCCGTCTTAGCGTAGGCTCTAAAGCTTAAGTAACAGTGGTGTAACTAAGTTGCGATGGTGCCGTCTTAGCGTAGGCTCTAAAGCTTAAGTAACAGTGGTGTAACTGAGTTGCGATGTGCCCTCAGCGAACATATCGGAGACGATAACGGACGAGGTGGCGGGCGGCGGCAGCGGCGAGGCGCTGGCGTGGTGCGCGCGCGGCGGCGAGCGCGTGGAGCTGGCCGCGCGCGACCTGCCGCCGCACGCGGAAAAACTGGAGAAATTCGTCGAGGACGTCAAGTGAGTGCAACACCTTGTTCGTCTTCTTCTTTTTTGATGATGTTGGCAATACACGTCGAGGTCGACTTGATTTGTGCCATTTTCAAGTAAATAAGTGATACGAGTTACAAAATGAGATCAAGTAATGATATAATGAAGAATGATAGATGATACCCCTTCCCACCCTTTGAGTCTCAGTAAAGTTGTGGTGCTTTACTGAGACCTCCTATGGACAACTTTAGAGAACCAGAAGAATCACGATGCACTGTTTTGCTTCACTTGCCCACACTCATGCACGTTCACGAACACTTAATGGTTAATAATCCACCATTATTACACATTAATAGTCGCCCAAACACGAATTTGAGGAAATAAAACAAAACCGCTAACATGACGCTTCAGATTCCCGCCAAGAAGTCCCCTTACCTTGTTGTTGAGTTGCCTAGCAAAAAAAATGTCATACGCCCCTTATATGCCCATAAAAAATACTGATGACGCTAATTGCAGACCTGAAAAATATGCCTAAGCGCCCCCAAAATATAGAAACCAAGCCTCTATAGCATGGTAAGGACCCCCTGCTTCGTCTGGTCTTTCGAGTGTCATCGTCTCGGCAGTCGCTCATCATTGGTCGCGTATCCACTAGCTAGAGGCAGCCTCGGGCCGAGCGTCTACCTCCTGAGGCAGAGCAAGTAGAGACGCTGCTTCAATCTGCCGCGTTCTGAGCCAAATTCGCCGTGAGTCGAGCCATATTGTATCGCGCGGTCTAAGGCTGGCAATACACGGACCCCTTAAAGCAGTCAGAGTCGACAGCTTCAAGCTGCGACTGCACAGTGAACTGCAGAGTTCTATGGACGCACATACACGAACCGCTCGAGCAGTTGCAACTGATTCGGGCGGTCGACAGCACGGTGAATGTTCATCGTGCGGTCAACAGTCGCCAGCCATACACTGACTGCTCGAGTTGTCGACAGCTCTCGCGCAGTTACCTCCGCCCACTTTCTTTATTCCACGGGGCGCGCGCTTGTGATTTGTTGAGCAGTTATCACTGGCAGCTTCAAGCTGTTGACTCTTGACTACAAGAGTGGTCCGTGTATGTTGATCAGTGACTAACTGCTCAAGCTGTCCGTGTATGGCGGGCCTTAGGCTGCCTCTAATACATACGCGGCGTTGAGTCAGCGCCGCGTCGACACTGCGTGGGCGTTGCATGGTTAAACGACGACGCTCGAAACACGCTAGTTTTCGAGCGTCGTCGTTTAACCATGCTTGTGCGTTTATCAAGAAACTGGTCTTTATTGCTCTAATCTGTTCGATTGTAATGTTTGTCTATGCCGTGTTCCAGATACGGCATCTACCCGCTGACGGCATACGGCTGCGGCGTGGGTCGCGGCGTCGGCGGGCGGGCCGCCTCCCCGCTTGAGGCCGCGCCCGCCGCGCCCGCCGCCGACCCGCCGCCGCGCGACCTCGAGACCCGCCGCGTCGTCAACATGATGTGCAGCCTCCAGCCGCCGCCGCACCACCACCAGCCGCCCGACCTGCTGGTCAGTGTGTAGTGTAGCACGACCGCCGCCGACCCGCCGCCGCGCGACCTCGAGACCCGCCGCGTCGTCAACATGATGTGCAGCCTCCAGCCGCCGCCGCACCACCACCAGCCGCCCGACCTGCTGGTCAGTGTGTAGTGTAGCACGACCAATGATGTCCTGCTGCTGGACTGAAGGCGTGTATTGACATTGCCACTGTTAGGATCTTACTAGACAAAATGGCAATGCCAGATTTTGTATGGAAGGTGGCGTCTTTTTTTTTTCGCGCGGCCATCGACCAAACCATGTTTTTTTATTACAAAATAGTGTAATAAACCAAACTTACTATGACATGTATACCTCTAAACTCAGTCTGAACTGAGTTACGAGCATTAGAAGTTTGATGATTTTCATACTAGATTTGCTTTTTGCGCGCAAGTTTTGTAAGAAATTGCAACAAAATATTGCGCTAATTTTTTATTGCGCTGATTCTGCTGCAAACTGATGCCTTTAATGGATGGTATTGTTTTTTTACACATACAATTACCACTATTTTGTTGCAATTTCTTACAATCTTGCGCGCAAAAAGCAAATCTAGTATGAAAATCATCAAACTTCTCTTAGGTNTATGCCGTGTTCCAGATACGGCATCTACCCGCTGACGGCATACGGCTGCGGCGTGGGTCGCGGCGTCGGCGGGCGGGCCGCCTCCCCGCTTGAGGCCGCGCCCGCCGCGCCCGCCGCCGACCCGCCGCCGCGCGACCTCGAGACCCGCCGCGTCGTCAACATGATGTGCAGCCTCCAGCCGCCGCCGCACCACCACCAGCCGCCCGACCTGCTGGTCAGTGTGTAGTGTAGCACGACCGCCGCCGACCCGCCGCCGCGCGACCTCGAGACCCGCCGCGTCGTCAACATGATGTGCAGCCTCCAGCCGCCGCCGCACCACCACCAGCCGCCCGACCTGCTGGTCAGTGTGTAGTGTAGCACGACCAATGATGTCCTGCTGCTGGACTGAAGGCGTGTATTGACATTGCCACTGTTAGGATCTTACTAGACAAAATGGCAATGCCAGATTTTGTATGGAAGGTGGCGTCTTTTTTTTTTCGCGCGGCCATCGACCAAACCATGTTTTTTTATTACAAAATAGTGTAATAAACCAAACTTACTATGACATGTATACCTCTAAACTCAGTCTGAACTGAGTTACGAGCATTAGAAGTTTGATGATTTTCATACTAGATTTGCTTTTTGCGCGCAAGTTTTGTAAGAAATTGCAACAAAATATTGCGCTAATTTTTTATTGCGCTGATTCTGCTGCAAACTGATGCCTTTAATGGATGGTATTGTTTTTTTACACATACAATTACCACTATTTTGTTGCAATTTCTTACAAAACTTGCGCGCAAAAAGCAAATCTAGTATGAAAATCATCAAACTTCTCTTAGGTTTGGTCGATGGCCGCGCGAAAAAAAAAGACGCCAATTTCCGGCATTGTCTTTTAAATAATAGAGTCGTACTCGGACGGAGCTCATAGCTCGTAGAGACGATGGCCGTTGGGGCAGGAAAGTTCTCGAGTGGCGACCACGGGCTGGAAGACGTAGCGTGGGCAGGCCTCCTACTAGGTGGACCGACGATCTGGTAAAGGTCGCGGGAAGAGCCTGGATGCGGGCAGCGCAGGGCCGTTCATTGTGGAAAACCTTGAGGAAGGCCTTTGTCCAGCAGTGGACGTCATTTGGCTGAAACGAACTCGGACGGAGAGACTATTTCATAGGTATATTGTAGGTAAAATAACTAGTTCACGCCTACGTGGGAGAGCCGCGTCTGATACCGGTGCAGTGGTCGAGAGGCTGAGTGGACGGGCATCGGGCACATATAGAGTGTGCCGGCGCTGCACACGCAAACGATGGTGGCCGATCGATGCCGATGAAGCCCGACGTGTTGAGAAGCACCAACAGCCACCCTGCTCGCCAGGCTGCTTACGACTTTGTTCTTGGACGGCGACGTTATTGACTCGCGAAGCAAACGCGTTTCTACACCGCGAGGTTGGCTCGCGAGGCATGCCTCACTAATACTATCGACGCCTTAAGATTGTAAGGCATCGCTCCCGTGCCAGGGATATGTGGTCAGGAAGGAAACTAACTCCCTAGAGAGTCTAGAGTCCCTATTCCCTAAGACACTAATGCATGACCCTTATGGTAACACATAATAGGAATTTTCTTTTCATAGGGGTCACTTAAAAATTAGGGATTGATGGTGAAAAGGGACATAAGTCCCTAGAGCCCTAGCCCTGCCTAACAATAGATACCTACTTAAACATAATAAGGGTGTGATAGGAAGGAAGCCGCTCCCAAGTGGCCCAGGGCAGCAGTGTTAGGACGGCAGGTAGGCGGCGGGGACCCGCTGCCAGCCCGGCAGACTCACCGGACTGATCATAGCGACGGCTAAGGCCCTTTTCACAGCGCCGGGTACCCGGTGGTGAAGTGTATGGGCATGGTACGTAGCTTTCACATGTTCCGGCGTAATTAATCCGGCATGCCCATACACCGGGTACCCGGCGCTGGTTAGCCGGCAACCGGGACGTGTGAAAAGGGCCTAAGGGTGTCTTGGCCGCAGCGGGGGGAAATGAGACACAACGACGGACAGTCAAAATCTGTTTTAAAAAAAAATCGATTTTTCTTAAGAAAAAAATCGATTTTTCCTAAGAAAAAAATCAATTTTATTATGGAGCTATGAATGCAATGCAAATGAATGTAGATAGTTTGGCAGTTCGCGTTCTGGGCTCCGAGCCAGAAGACCAAACGTAATATCGGGGTGCATTTATTGCATGATTATAAAAAGTTGATTTTAAAAAATCGATTATTAATCGATTATAAATTAAAAAAAAAACACATTTTAAAATCGAATTCTATTTTATAATAATCGATTATTTTTTTCACATCCCTAGTTCATGGGTCGCCCGGCGGTCGATGCTGACGGTGCAGCAGGATGTATAATATAATCATGCTCGTACACTACCTTTCTCGCTCGCTCACCGTGTGACTCCTCACCCGCAGATGACGATCCTGCTGCGCATGGACGACAAGATGAACCGGCAGCTGACGTGCGCCGTCACGCGCCGCGACTCCGCGCACGCGCTGGCCCGGGAGCTGGTGCAGCTCGGCTTCATACACGAGGTATGGAATCTAACTACACTCGACATCAAATAAACCGCACCTCCCGCAACAAGCACTTCTCAAACGTATGCATCCCCACTTCCCACCAACATTGGTACCATTTGAAAGCCTAGTTCTAAACTTGATTTCATTAAAGGAAAGGTTTTTACCCCAAAAATGTGTCTTTACAAGGATCCAGAGTCACTTCTTCAAAAAATAGGTAGTTACGCTATAGCCATTTTTTATGACTATAAAACTGTTAAGTTAAGATTAATCGCTATCCATCTGTTAAAGAGGACACGTGAGATCTTTATTTGGTTTTGTAACCATCAAAATTGGTCTAATTGATCCCAGAGGTGAGCCCAAACTGAGGTCTTTTTTCAGGTCATATTTATGGTATATGTTAATCATTTATTAAGAAATTAAATGTGTTTTTCTTTTAGGATATTTATTGGGCTTTCAAATAACACCAATATTGTTGGGGCACCATGATTGTGTCAGAAGAAAATCTTTAAAGTTCGCGTCGTGGAAGGTGCGGTTTATTTGATGTTGAGTGTATATTGGTCATCACAAAAATCGGCCCACCTACGTTTTACAGAAAACCTCGTTTCTACTGACACAATCATGGTGCCCCAACAATATTGGTGTCATTTGAAAGCCCAATAAATATCCATAAAGAAAAACACATTTAATTTCTTAATAAACGATTAACATAATATACTCGACATACTCGTACAATAAATGTGACTTGAAAAAAGACCTAACTGTGGGCTCACCTTTGGGATCAATTAGACCAATTTTTATGGTTATAAAACCAAATAATAATCTCACGTGTCCTCTTCAACAGATGGATAGCGATTAATCTCAACTTAAGGCGCTACCTCGTAAAAGTTTTCGGCCGACTGAATGCCTCGCACACGCGAGGAAAGGCAATAGCGCGCGCGGCGCGAAATAAAATAACGTAAGCGACAAAAATCGGAAATCATGTATTTATTGAAAAACCAAACACTATTTAAAGAAAATAACTCGACCAGTACTTATAATATGTTATTACCTTACCAATATACAAAATTTGGTATTGAAATATTAGCCTATCTGCTTATAAAACGAAAAACCGAGTAATAGAAGGGTCATCTTTGGATTTTTTTTCTATCGAGAAAATTGTTTCCATTCATGTTTCGGCTTCGACCAGACACTAGATTTATTAGTCAACTATGACATATTTCAAAATAAAAACATAAGTAATAAGAAAAGTACGATTAAAACTAATTCTGCGCTTCTTTAAAACGCCCAATATTCGCAAGGCATCACCTTAACAGTATTAAAACCATAAAAGTTGGCACAAGCGTAACTACCTATTTTTTGAAGAAGTAACTCTGGTAACTTTAGAACTAGGCTTTCAAATGGTGCCAACATTTGTGGGAAGTGGGAATGCATACGTTTGAAAGTGCTTGTTGCGGGAGGGTCGATTTTTGTGAAGACCAGTGTATTTTCTATCTGACAACATACTTTCGTTACAGTGGGCTGAGTGCGAGTTTATATCAAACGTCCTCACTAGTGACCGCGTTAAAAATATGTATGAAAATTTAGTTCTTGAACGTTTCCGCTAGGGGCGCTGTACAATACGTCATACATTTAATGTCATTTTTTTACTCGCTCATTAGTGAGTACGTAAAAAATTGCCAAGATTATTTTTGAGTTGACCGTCGGGGTTTCCTTTCTTCTACACAAGGTTTGTATTTTCTGTAAACTTTACATCAGTTACATTACTCCTTTGGTGAAGTACCGCAGTTGCCCGAGTCGTATAGTGTCTTGAAATTTTGCCACGTTTCGGGCCCTTTGACTCGGGCGCAAAACGCGACATGTCGGATGATCTTACTGCGATTTTCAGCCAACTTCGCGAGTAGTGGAGCTGGCGTGAAAATTCCTAGGCGCAGACCACTGACTTTTAGTTGGCTGATAGTTGTGCCCGATTCTAATTTATATGAAGAAACGGCCGAGTCGGGCTGTTAATCAGTATGGACAATATGGACATGTATGAAAGTGCGCACATCTGCCTATCGAATCGGGCCTAACTATCGGCTAACACTCGTTTATTAATTGTGCAACGTAAATAAAATCATCGTAACTTACTCAAATGTACGCTACTTGTAGGTTGGAGTCTAGACACTGTTCATTTTGTTTATGTATTTTGATATGTAAATGACTGTAACCTGTATGTGTACTTTTTTTTAATAAAATAAAATAAAATCGGTGGTCTGCGCCTAGGCTTACAGTTGTTTTGAAATCTAATTTTAGCTTTGCGAAAGTTCGTAAAAAGTTTGTCAATCGATCACCGGTGTTATGTCACGGTGTCAACGAAACTAAAGCACCACACTATAACTTTTCCAGGCGGACCGCGACAAGCTGTGCCGGCTCATGGAGGACTCCTTACGCGGCAGCTTCGGCGACCCCGCGCCGCCCGCGCCCCTCCGCGCGCCGCAGCACGTCGCCAGCTAGTGCCCGCCCACTATAGTCGCGGGGCCAGGCTGCCGGGCCACAGCGCCTGCCGGGCCCGCGCGGCCTAGCACCCGGGCCGTAGCACCTGCCGACTTTAGTGCGGGGCCCACGCGGGGCGCTACCGTTGTCGACTCCGCGGGGCCTAGCAGCCGGGCCGTAGCACCTGCGAGCCACAGTGCCGGGCCCACGCGAGGCGCAGCGGGGCCTAGCAACCAAGCCGTAGCACCTGCCGACTTTAGTGCGGGGCCCACGCGGGGCGCTACCGTCGTCGACTCCGTGGGGCCTAGCAGCCGAGCCGTAGCACCTGCGAGCCACAGTGTGGGACCCACGCAGGGTACAGTGGGGCCTAGCAACCGGGCCGTCGCACCTGCCGACTTTAGTGCGGGGCCCACGCGGGGCGCTACCGTCGTCGACTCCGCGGGGCCTAGCAACCGAGCCGTAGCACCTGCCGGGCCCACGTGGCCTAGCAACCGGGCCGTCGCACCTGCTGTCCCTGCGAGCCACAGTGCCGGGCCCACGCGGGGCGCTACCGTCGTCGACTCTGCGGGGCCTAGTAGCCGGGCCGTAGCACCTGCCGGGCCCACGCGGGGTACAGCGGGGCCTAGCAACCAAGCCGTAGCACCTACCGACCACAGTGTGGGACCCAGGCGGGGCGCTACTGTTGTTGACTCCGCGGGACCTAGCAGCCGGGCCGTAGCACCTGCGAGCCACAGTGTGGGACCCACGCTGGGCGCAGCGGGGCCTAGCAACCAAGCCGTAGCTTAAGTGTTAAAAACCCGGTTTTTACCCAAATCACCCAGTTTAAACCCAATCGGGTGAAATGGGTTTTTACCCACTACCCATCTCTAGGTACAGTAGGTACCAAAGCCTCAGACCAAAGCATGGAATTTTTGATAGGCTAGAGTATTCGTTATATAAAAAATATTTTCATTTTTGTACTTAAAATAGATGATTTAATTTTATATAGCCTGACCAGGAACATAAAAACCCTGGCATAGAGGCGCGACAATTGCATTTGATAGTGCAACACTGAGTACAGTCGTACCTGTGTTAAATTAATTGGCTAACTTTATGTATCAGGATTCAGGATTACGGGCTAATTTGATATTTTCATAAATTAACGAAAAAATATTATTATAGGTAACCTGGTTTAAATAAATTAAATGAAACCATCAATCGAGCTAGTAGGATTTATTTTATTAATAATGAATAATCAAATTCAGAACTTGAATATTCAACTGCAATGTCTGCTCATGAACGCATCAAACTCGGTAGTTGTTTCCCAATTCCATAAAATTCAACACTTAGAAAGTGACAAAATTTTTTAAAATAGGTAGTTGAAACAAACCATAGCTAATTTTCATAGTGGACTGTACTATACGATAAACATGTCAGTCAATTTGACAACCTTTGTCGGAAACATTATTCAATGAAAATATTGTTCGAACCCTTAGTATTTCTCTTCGACAAATACTTTAACACATTGTGAACCACTTTTCTTTCACGACTATAAAAAGATTTTAGCAATTTAATTCACAAAATCAATTGCGCACATTTAAAATAAAGTTTGTTTACACTTTGACAGCAATAGACTGACATGCAAGGTGACATGTCAATGAAGTTTTCAGTTACTGTTGCCATTAAAAGAAATTAGTACCATTAATTTTCCGCAACATGGCGAGGGTTTTTATGTTCCTGGTCNATCTATGCAGATATTTCCTACAGACAAGTATACATCTTGCGCAATGCAAAACTCGATTGTCAACTGTAGTATATACCTAATAAATAAATAAATAAAATGCTGACAAATTTCAATTAATTCAAGACTACAATTCGTGCTAGCGAATCTTCTCCGAATTGTTTAATGTGAACACAATGCGTCATTGTTCTAATTTCTCTGACAACATCCCCAGGTATTAACAGAATTATGTCTGAACTTAAGTTATCGTAATTAAATTATGAAACTATTCCGCCGTCTTATCGGCACGTGTTCTCCGGAGCTTGATGAATCCATACATAAATTAAATTGGAATTCAGTCAAGGACGTTGCCACAAGTCATTAGTTGTACTCGCTTTTGCATTATACATACAATCATTGCTCCAGTATTGGCTTCAAACAAAAAGATTGTATTGATAACATTAATGGTCACGACAGAAGTAATGAACGGATTAGGGGAGGGAGAACGTTTACGGATTCTTTGATGAGCTATAAACCCATTTATTGTGTTTATTTACGGTCCTCATTCCGATTCTGATTGGATTTGTTACGTAAATTGTCTGATTTAATCATTTTAGGTCGATCCTTTATTTCCAGGCTAAAAACGTTCACCGCTGAATGTAAGCTCGCCTAACAAAAATTATTTGAGCGGCTTCGTATTATATCCGATCTGAATCCGTGAAAATATGGTATGGATTACTTTAGTAGTACTATTTGTATGGTAGTTTACGTTTTCTCTAGCTAGTTTTCTAGATTCGGATCGGTTATAGTGCGATACCGCTTCTAAGAGTAACAATCCCTCCACTAATCCTGCCGAATCTCGGGAGAGCGCAATCAGTCACATACCTTCTTACATCGAGCCCGTCCCCACTTAGACGGACCATCTTGTTTTCTCGGTCCGTACGAAGTGACGGATATGCCAGTGGCAGTATAATTTATATGACTGTTCACATTTACACGGATCGTCTAGCTTCAAACCTCTTACTAAGTAACCATACTGCAGTCAACAGCGATTAAAATTCCGATTATTTTGTATTCCAGGTAGAGCAACGCGATGTGCCGGGCATCGACTGCGCGCACCTGGCCATGGACACGGAAGAAGGCGTGGAGGTGGTGTGGAACGAGGTGCAGTTCTCGGAGCGGAAGAACTTCAAGGCTCAAGAGGACAAGATTCAGATGGTGTTCGACAACCTCACGAGGCTCGAGCACCCCAACATCGTCAAGTTCCACCGGTACTGGACCGACACACACAATGACAAGCCGAGGGTGAGTTTACACCATTATTTTTTTAAATAATAAATAGCTAGTTCTCTAACACCATTATACTATTCTAATAACCAGCTCATTTCATATTTTTCACAAACTGTCTTCTCTCTTTTTCTCATTTCGTGATTTGTTTTACTCGTATATTTTATGCCAATGTAGTTAGAGCTATGTATTTTAATATGAAAATAAAGTGTTGTTCATTTTCCATCTTCTATTAATAGCTTAATCAACTGAAGTCCTAATTGTCTTGTAATTTAATGAAGCTATGATCCCATTCACTAACACCTAATTAAAATCTATTTTTGTTCAACAGGTTTTGCAACGATAGAATCCTTAAATTCCTTGGTAGGAATATTTAATCATAAATAACCGTCTTTGTTTTCAGCGTGGGCGCGGCTGATTTGGCTCTCGATGAAGACCCGAAAGTTTTCTATAAAATTTTCTTTACAATTGGTTTTAAAAGCAATAATTTATACATTCCAGGTGATATTCATAACGGAGTATATGTCATGCGGCTCGCTAAAGCAGTTCCTGAAGCGGACGAAGCGCAACGTGAAGCGGCTGCCGCTGCAGGCGTGGAAGCGGTGGTGCACGCAGATCTTGTCAGCGCTCAGGTGAGACCAGTAGAAACTGGCAATCCTGCAAAGGAATAAGGTCTTCTAACAGTAATACCTCATTGTCTTTATCTCAGGATTATGAGCAAGTGTGTTTTTGTACGGATGTTTTTAATAATATACGTTCAGTGCGATTACCATGAGTTTACGTTAGGTGTGCTCGCTAGCGAGTATGTCAAAAATTTCTATGAAGATTTTATTTCTTGAAAGTAGCCGCTAGGGGCGCTGCACAATATGTCATACATTAAAATGTCATTTTTTTACGCAGTCGCTAGCGAGCACACCTAACGTAAACTCATGGTAAGCACACAGGTCACAATAACTGTCGCATACAGATTTTTTTTTCTTTGCCCCATGAAAATTGCATTGTCCCTAATCCACGTCTTTTATTTTTATATGTTGTATTAAATCTGTATGCGACAGTTATTTTTAAGCTTGTATAACATACTCGTTAGTTATTTCAAAAATGACTTGACTCTCGATAAAATCAAGTAGGTCACGGTTTGTTTGAATGCGTCCGACAGCTACCTGCACGGTTGCGTGCCGCCCATCGTGCACGGCAACCTGACGTGCGACACCATCTTCATCCAGCACAACGGTCTCGTGAAGATCGGCTCCGTCGCGCCCGATGCCATCCACCACCACGTCAAGACCTGCCGCGAGAACATGCGCAACATGCACCTTATCGCCCCGGAATACGGATGTAAGTACACCCAGCACTCGGCCCCTCCGCAAAACTTACGGTTTCTTCTGCTTGGATTCTTGCATTACCTCTAGCTTTTTCTGCAACACTTTCAAACGATTAATCGGTGCCATTTTTTGCTCAGTGTAGAAAAAGCGAGAGCTGCGTACCAGGATCTTAGCAGGAGAAGCATCACTATACGTATTTATTCCAATTTTGTTTCCCTCGAATCAGCATCGCAAATGGTGACACCAGCGATGGATATCTACTCGTTCGGAATGTGCGCTCTGGAGACCGCCGCTCTAGAGATTCAGGGGAACGGAGACTCGGGCAGCCACGTCACGGAGGAGCACATCGTGCGAACGGTCGAATCCTTGGAGGAGCCGAGACAGAAGGATTTCATATACAGGTACTTTTGAGCAGGTTTGTGGCGTCTCACCGCCAGGTAAGTGGTGCGGGTGAGTTGACTGTGGCTGTGACTTGTAAGGGTTGCCAGGTCCAAAAACACAAAAGCCGGACTGTGTGCTTAATTTGGCCGGACATTTTACCCTAAAAGCCGGACATGCGACAATTAGTGAGCTCACGAGTGAGTACTATCATCATCGGTTGCCTAACGTCCTGATGCGTGCGTGCCTTATTCTGTGGCTCGACTTTCGCCTGGCGCGGCAGCCAAATAAAAAGCCGGACAGGCCGGACATCGGTTAAATTGGCCGGACACGCAATCAAAAAGCCTAACTATGTCCGGCTTTATCCGGACACCTGGCAACCCTGTGACCGTGCTGTGTGTGAGTCGCGGGCGGGCGCTAACCGGCGGGCGCTAACCGGCGGGCGGTGCTTGCAGGTGCATTAACAAAGACCCGGCGCAGCGGCCCACGGCGCGCGAGCTGCTCTTCCACCCGCTGCTGTTCGAGGTGCACTCGCTGAAGCTGCTGGCGGCGCATACACTCGTCAACACCACTGGTGAGACATTAATCACACTTTACTTCAACTGAATTTGAACTTTATAGCCACGATAGCCGAACGGTGAAGGGGTCGGAGTGGCCGACTCGAGATACGAGGAACGCGGGTTCGAATCCCACCGCCGCTCGACTATTGTGGTGAGCCCACTCGTAACACAAGCTTATTTAGCTTAACACGAGGGGCTAATGGGACTATTAGTAATTTGGGCAATACAAATTGGTAATAATCTTTAAAAAAAAAAAAAAGAAGAATTAAGATCCTATATTTTAGCCTAGGCGTAAACCACCGACTTTTAGTTGTTGCCGATAGTTAGGCTCGACTCTAATTTGTATAAAGAATTGGCCGATACCAAATCGGTGTACTATTGTGCGCACTTTCATACAAATCTCCATACTGATCAACAGCCCGAACCAACTATCGGCCAAATGAAAATCGGTGGTCTGCGCGTAGGCTAAAAGTTGCTTCATTTGTTTCTACACCTTTTTTACGTGATACTCGTATAATATTCATAATTTGATTTAACTTGTAATCGGATGGAAAAATTAATTGTCCATGATTAAATTATTTCATGTAATCGTTTTTACTCGTAACATACACGCAGTTGGCGATAAATCCACTGTATTTACGACATTTTAAGTTGCGGTAAACGTGCGGGTAATCTGTCACTGATTTGCACACTTTAATGTTGAGTGAAAGTGATCACGCAGTCGTTACTTTACATTGATATGATGTAATATTTTTAAATAATAATTATTTTTTATGGTAGCAATATTTTTTTATGTAAACTTTCCACGTATGGTGGAATTTCAGCAATGCCACACAACCGAATAGTAGTGTTTGATACTTTAGTAATGTTTGAAATTTTAACTGAAGAAATTGAGGACCAGGACCAAAGGCTCGCGATTTCTGTTCCACACAGTGGATAGCTTAATTATAGTGACATAAAAGTGTAAAGGTACTAGTTTGAAGCTACTCACTCACAGCATCAGCAGCAAACGATTATATCTCTATGGAATATTCCATTCCATTACTAATAACCCATCGTCTGTAGGAATACATACTGTCGTGCTGCTGTGTGTAGTCGGCTTCAAATTGGCACCTTTATAAACACACGCATTTCCAATGAAGTACAGACTTCTGCGTATGCGGCCTAGATCTGGCTCGAAGGATCAAAATTTAAAGACTGTGTACTTTTTACTTGTTATTGATGTTGGATCCCGTGTATATGAATTGTGATTTGGTGCTGACTTTCTTTTCTCCACCTCTATCCACTATATCAGCATCAGTCTGTTTGTTGTACTGAAGTAGTGGTATAGCAAGCTATATTCAGGACGTGTATAAGCGCCCTGGGGGGCTACTCCGAAACGCTGTTTACGTAGTTTCGTGTCTATCTGTTACCGTCGCTCATGCTGGTATCTCTTTGTGAGAGGGATGGCAATATCGTAACTTCGGATTACGTTTTTCGGAGTAACCCCGCTGGAAAGGGCTTGAATAAAAGGTTTGATTCGATGTCCCCTTAGCGAACATATCGGAGACGATAACGGACGAGGTGGCGGGCGGCGGCAGCGGCGAGGCGCTGGCGTGGTGCGCGCGCGGCGGCGAGCGCGTGGAGCTGGCCGCGCGCGACCTGCCGCCGCACGCGGAGAAGCTGGAGAAATTCGTCGAGGACGTCAAGTGAGTGTCTCTCTGAACCATCTACACTGCTGGATAACAGAACGTCTCTACTTTTTCTGATTACAATTCTGATCTCTATTTTCCGCTAGGAAAAATCTGGTTTTTATATCATCATCATTTCAGCCATAGGACGCCAACTGCTGAACATAGGCCCACCCAATGATTTCAATATTAACCTGTTGGTAGCGGCCTGAATCCAGCGCCTTCCTGCTACCTTTGCGATGACTTCCAAGTCTTTAAACTTGGCCTTTACTACTTGGGCTTTAATTTGTAGTGTATACTACATTTTGTTTTATTAACGTCTTTGGCTCTCTCAATCATATGAGTTGCATTTAAATTGATATTGTTGTAGTGTTTTATTATAGAAACCAAGCCTTTGTATATTAGCATGTTAAGGGGTTTCCCTTAAAGGGATCGAAAGACATTATCCTTTAAAAACCTGAATACCTTTTTGAGAAACTCGCATGGGCCAAAGATAAGACTGAAAGAAGTTTACGCATGAAGACAATTAACCTCTTGAAAATACCCCAACATAATTCCGCGCGGTTTCGAGGATCCTTTAGGTATCGAGCAGCCAGCATTTGGAACATTCTGCCACCTCCCAAGAAGGTTAGGATGAGTACTCAAACCTTCAAAGTCAAATACAAAGCAGCCTTATTGAGAAAACAGCTGGCTGCGGAAAACTTATATCATGGATACTGGAAATCACTGCCCCTGAAAAACTATTTCTAGAAAAGCATTTACACACATTAAACACACACACTCACTTTCACACACATAACACACATCAACTTACTTTTACACACATAACACACTCACATTTCAAACACAATCACACAACACAATTGTGCAGACAAAACGCAAATTTAGTTAAAATCCTTGTTTTTTTTTATTGTCACTTGTTAAATTAGCCCTCAATATCCAATTCTCGCATAAGACTTATAGAGAAATGGGAGTGGCTGAAAATCAGCGCAGCCTGAGTATTTTTCAGGAAGCATTAGCTGAGCCACCTCCAATTGCTTCCTTATAATATTATGTCAATCAATCAACATTATTGTAACTAGAATAAGTATTTTGAAGAAGCAATAAAGGACTTTATTTTTTATTATTATTTAAGTGTTGTCAACTCGACAGCCAGCGTCTCGTCGACGCTGTGCGGGCGCTGTTTTAACGAGGACGCTCAAAACACGCTAGTGTGGGCGGTCCTTAAGTGCTTGATGGTTTAGCAAGAGACTCCGGTCTTTATTGCTTAATTCTGAGTGTAATGTTATGCTGTAACGTTCCAGATACGGCATCTACCCGCTGACGGCATACGGCTGCGGCGTGGGCCGCGGCGTCGGCGGGCGGGCCGCGTCCCCGCTCGAAGCCGCGCCCGCCGCGCCCGCCGCCGACCCGCCGCCGCGCGACCTCGAGACCCGCCGCGTCGTCAACATGATGTGCAGCCTCCAGCCGCCGCCGCACCACCACCAGCCGCCCGACCTGCTGGTCAGTGTGTAGTGTAGCACGACCGCCGCCGACCCGCCGCCGCGCGACCTCGAGACCCGCCGCGTCGTCAACATGATGTGCAGCCTCCAGCCGCCGCCGCACCACCACCAGCCGCCCGACCTGCTGGTCAGTGTGTAGTGTAGCACGACCGCCGCCGACCCGCCGCCGCGCGACCTCGAGACCCGCCGCGTCGTCAACATGATGTGCAGCCTCCAGCCGCCGCCGCACCACCACCAGCCGCCCGACCTGCTGGTCAGTGTGTAGTGTAGCACGACCGCCGCCGACCCGCCGCCGCGCGACCTCGAGACCCGCCGCGTCGTCAACATGATGTGCAGCCTCCAGCCGCCGCCGCACCACCACCAGCCGCCCGACCTGCTGGTCAGTGTGTAGTGTAGCACGACCGCCGCCGACCCGCCGCCGCGCGACCTCGAGACCCGCCGCGTCGTCAACATGATGTGCAGCCTCCAGCCGCCGCCGCACCACCACCAGCCGCCCGACCTGCTGGTCAGTGTGTAGTGTAGCACGACCGCCGCCGACCCGCCGCCGCGCGACCTCGAGACCCGCCGCGTCGTCAACATGATGTGCAGCCTCCAGCCGCCGCCGCACCACCACCAGCCGCCCGACCTGCTGGTCAGTGTGTAGTGTAGCACGACCGCCGCCGACCCGCCGCCGCGCGACCTCGAGACCCGCCGCGTCGTCAACATGATGTGCAGCCTCCAGCCGCCGCCGCACCACCACCAGCCGCCCGACCTGCTGGTCAGTGTGTAGTGTAGCACGACCGCCGCCGACCCGCCGCCGCGCGACCTGGACTTCCACCGAAACAGAGACGAGGCTATGTGTGCAGAGACAAGTGGCATAGTGAACAAGTTACTTCCACCTGGGTCTACGGGTGTCTATGGGCGACGGTAATCACTTATCATCAGGTGTTCCGTCTGCTCGTTTGCCTCCTGTCACATAAAAAACAAACCAAAGAGGCGTGGAGCTTTGCTCAACCGTTTCCACTGAAGAATAACAAAAAGACGAAATTGTTGATATCTGCTTTAATGAAAAACGAACCTTACACATTACTCGAAATTATATTGGTGACTATCAATACAGATATCTTAGGCCTCAATCAGACTACCTGGAGCGGGCGCGGGCGCTTAGATCTTGACGTTTAACGTTCACAGTGCCGCGCTTCGACAAGCAAATCAAAACCTAACAGACGATATAATATCACTGTGAACAATACGCGCAGACTAAGCCATTAGAAACGTCCGCACCCGCCACGTCCAGGTTTGAGTTCGGATTGGATTGGGTTGTTATGGGCGTTGTGCTGGCAGAATCCTAATAAGCCATATCCACACTGAGTGAGGTCTCGCCTTCTTCTCTCGTCTCCCCATTTCATGGAAGCTCGGAATTCGTTATCTATCTTATTCTTATTTGTTCCGGCGTTTCTTCTCAGCACTTACCATATGTTTGTCTCGAAGCGCTGGTAGGGTCCAAAAGATAAGGAGACATGTAAAGTGCCCCATAAGGGCTACCTTTTCTTTTTTATTATTTACAATATTTTTACGCGCACACAAATGCCACCTGTGGTCTAAATTAAATAAAATATTTTTGATTTTGATTTTTGATTTTGAAAGGTTAATTCGTATTAGTCGAGTAATTTAAGCGAGTGGTGAGTAATTTAGTAGCTAAACGTGTCGAAACACCTAAAATTTAGTCTAGTAGGTTACTAAATCGTTTTGTGGAGCCAATCCATTTTGTTCCATTTTGACAGGCGAGTAGCACCCGCACGCGTCCCTGCTCACTTTCTCCCCGGAGTCCGAACCGGGCGATTTAGTAGAGTTCATATAAAAACCACTAATTACTTGTAAACTGTATTGGACTAAAATGCGAACGGTTTTTTGGTCAGTAGCAATTAGTTTAGTTACTAAAGCTCAACTAAATAACTGGACTAGTGCGAACAAGACTTTATGGACCTAACTCGTTATCTACCTTTCTCGCTCGCTCACCGTGCACTCCTCACCCGCAGATGACGATCCTGCTGCGCATGGACGACAAGATGAACCGGCAGCTGACGTGCGCCGTCACGCGCCGCGACTCTGCGCACGCGCTGGCACGGGAGCTGGTGCAGCTCGGCTTCATACACGAGGTATGGAATCTAACTACACTCGGCATCCAATAAATCGCACCTCCCGCAACAAGCACTTCTCAAACGTATGCATCCCCACTTCCCACCAACATTGGTTCCATTTGAAAGCCTAGTTCTAAACTTGATTTCATTAAAGGAAAGGTTTTACCCCAAAAATGTGTTTTTAGAAGGATCCACAGTCACTTCTTCAAAAAATAGGTAATTAAGCTTGAGCCAACTTTTATGGCTATAAAACTGTCAAGTTGGGATTAATCGCTATCCATCTGTTAAAGAGGACACGTGAGATCTTTATTTAGTTTTATAACCATAAAATTTGGTCTAATTGATACCAGAGGTGAGCTTAAACTGAGGTCTTTTTTCAGGTCATATTTATGGTATATGTTAATCATTTATTAAGAAATTAAATGTGTTTTTCTTTTAGGATATTTATTAAAGTTCGCGTCGCGGAAGGTGTATTTGATGTTGAGTGTATATTGGTCATCACAAAAATCGGCCAACCTACGTTTTACAGAAAAGCTCGTTTCTACTGACACAATCATGGTGCCCCAAAAATATTGGTGTCATTTGAATGCCCAATAAATATCCAGAAAGAAAAACACATTTAATTTCTTAATAAACGATTAACATAATATACTCGTACAATAAATGTGACTTGAAAAAAGACCTAACTTTGGGCTCACCCCTTGGAACAATTAGACCAATTTTTATGGTTATAAAACCAAATAATAATCTCACGTGTCCTCTTCAACAGATGGATAGCGATTAATCTCAACTTAACAGTATTAAAACCATAAATGTTGGCTCAAGCGTAACTACCTATTTTTTGAAGAAGTGACTCTGGATCCTTCTAAAGACACATTTTTGGGTAAAAACCTTTCCTTTAATTAAATGAACTTTAGAACTAGGCTTTCAAATGGTGCCAACATTTATGGGAAGTGGGAATGCATACGTTTGAAAGTCCTTGTCGCGGGAGGGTCGATTTTTGTGAAGACCAGTGTATTTTCTATCTGACAACATACTTTCTTTACAGTGGGCTGAGTGTGAGTTTATATCAAACGTCCTCACTAGTAAGCGCGTTAAAAATATGTATGAAAATTTAGTTCTTGAACGTTTCCGCTAGGGGCGCTGTACAATACGTCATACATTTAATGTCACTTTTTTACGCGCTCATTAGTGAGTACGTAAAAAATTGCCAAGATTATTTTTGAGTTGACCGTCGGGGTTTCCTTTCTTCTACACAAAGTTTGTATTTTTTCTGTAAACTTTACATCAGTTACATTACTCCTTTGGTGAAGTACCGCAGTTGCCCGAGTCGTATAGTGTCTTGAAATTTTGCCACGTTTTGGGCTCTTTGACTCGGGCGCAAAACAGACAACATGTCGGGCGATCTTACTGCGATTCGTTCTGTCGCGCTAACTTTCGTGGAGCTAATGTTCAGTCGCGCCATTGATTATCAGCATAAGGTAAGGCTACAACGTTTGTAGCACTTTTGTCGCAACTATGATGCAGACTCATTAGTGACTTTCAGCCAAGTTCGCGAGTAGTGTACCTGAGGTATAAATTTTATTTATTACAGTTGTTTTGATTAGCTTTGCGAAAGTTCGTAAAAAGTTTGTCAATCGATCACCGGTGTTATGTCAACGTAATTAAAGCATCACATACATTTTCCAGGCGGACCGCGACAAGCTGTGCCGGCTCATGGAGGACTCCTTACGCGGCAGCTTCGGCGACCCCGCGCCGCCCGCGCCCCTCCGCGCGCCGCAGCACGTCGCCAGCTAGTGCCCGCCCGCTGCAGTCGCGGGGCCAGGCAGCCGGGCCAACGCGCCTGCCGGGCCCGCGCGGCCTAGCACCCGGGCCGTAGCACCTGCGAGCCACAGTGTGGGACCCACGCGGGCCGCTACCGTCGTTGACTCCGCGGGGCCTAGCAACTGGGCCGTAGCACCTGCGAGCCACAGTGTGAGACCCACGCGGGGCGCAGCGGGGCCTAGCAACCAAGCCGTAGCACCTGCCGACTTAAGTGCGGGGCCCACGCGGGGCGCTACCGTCGTCGACTCCGCGGGGCCTAGCAACCGAGCCGTAGCACCTGCGAGCCACAGTGCCGGGCCCACGCGAGGCGCAGCGGGGCCTAGCAACCAAGCCGTAGCACCTGCCGACTTAAGTGCGGGGCCCACGCGGGGCGCTACCGTCGTCGACTCCGCGGGGCCTAGCAACCGAGCCGTAGCACCTGCGAGCCACAGTGCCGGGCCCACGCGAGGCGCAGCGGGGCCTAGCAACCAAGCCGTAGCACCTGCCGACTTTAGTGCGGGGCCCACGCGGGGCGCTACTGTCGTCGACCCCGCGGGGCCTAGCAGCCGGGGCGTAGCGCCTGCTGACTTCAGTACGAGGTGCATACGGGGCGTTGTCAACTCCGCGGGGCCTAGCAGCCGGGGTGTGCCTGCCGACCTCAATGATGGGCCCACGTGGGGCTTAGCGGGGCCTAGCAGCTGGGCCGTAGCACCTGCCGGGCCCACGCGGGGCGTAGCGGTCGCTGACCCGGTTGAACTGATCCATGCCGTCGACGCGAGTGAACCGACTCGGGGATTTACAAATGTAGAACCATTACAAAGTACTCACAAGACAGTTATGCGTCCGTTTCAACCTAACAAAGTATTGCAGTCGATTGATGTTAATACGAGCGAGCCGGGACCGTCTCAATCGAAATCGTATCAAACTTCCACTAGCCGTGATGACGTAGCAAAAAATGTAGTTTTCCCGCCGCGTGTCCGCTCACAGACGCACTCGGGATCGCTAAAAGATCTTAAACACGGTAGCAAGGAAGCTCCTGAATCCTCCAAAAATAACGAGAGAATATTACGCTACAACCCAAAAATAATCCAACCGAGGTCGCCGCAGCGGGGCCAAGGTAGTCTAAATAAACAGAACCCGCGAGCTCACCCGATGGGCATCAAACGAACGGGGTCACTTCAGTGCATCAAAAACGCAACCCAAAAACCTGCACGGATACAAGAAAAGCCGCTTCGCGATGTGAAAGACGTTGCGATACTTCCGAATATACGTCCCATTCAGTGCACTAAAGATCAAACGCACGTTAATCCACGGCAGTTTGCTAAGGACATAGCTCATATACGCGCGGTCACCCGGCCCAATATGCGCGGACAGAGTTCGGAAGACTTATGTGCACAGGCAGACAAGCGCAGTGAAGATATATCTCCTACACAGGAACATAAACGTATTCTCCAGCGAAGCAATACCGCTCGCACCGCACTATTACCTCGTATACTCATCACGCACGCTGATACTGAATCTTTGCTGAGTAAAAAGTCTAAGGACGATTCGGAAGTATCCACACGATCCGACACCACCCGTCATCTACCGTCGCGTCTCGATAAATCGAAATTAAATTCGAAAAAATCCAAGCTGGCTAGCACGTTGCCGCGTCGATTGCCGAGCCAGAGTAAAATTTCAAAGCTGCATTCGGAAGTCGATTCAACAAAAGATGCGTCAATTCTGACAGAAAAGTCTCCGTTAGAAGCCAAGCGTGCTTGTTTCAAGCGCGCTCGGACGCTCCCACATATTGAGCTTCAAGACAACACACCCCGCCCGCCGCCACCCTCCCCTCTAGGCGACCTCCCGATACCACAGCTCAGACAACGACCTAACGCGAAAACTTTGTACGTATATCTGGTCAGATGCTGCTCTTTGTTCTGAAAACAAAACCGCGTGTAACAAAAATATTAGGCGATTTTAATTGAAAACAACACCGACGATTAGATACGGTCGATTCGATCGAATTATAGTTATGTAAGCAAATCTAGCACCGACGTTAACTAACATCCTTATTTATAGATAATCGGTGTTCAGAACCGACCGGCTCTAATTGACGAACTTGAAATATAATTGGAACGTTTAACACAAAATAATCATAAAAACATTTGAAAATCCGTCTTTATTGAAATTACCGTCAATTTATCTAACGTTAAATAGAAGTGGACTCATAACTGTACCTTGTGCGACCCCACGATTAGAGCAGAAATAGACTCGTCATCCGTCACGCTTTCGCCGCGAGAGTGTAGAGTAAAAAGGTTCGTGTACCGTTCGATCTTCAGCTTTAAATAGACCCCACACATCGGTCCGCAGGTGCGAGTGACTTTATCACTAGCTTTATCGAAGTCGACAAATTCGTTAGTGGTCCCGGCGAGAACATGTAACGTTAATCTTACGTAATGATTATACTTCCGAAGCACTTAGCTTTTATTGATATTTAACAAGGTTTTATCTTAGTCACTAGACGCGAGCACGAATTTGAACTTAGCAAAAAAATCTTGCATTTCTTGAAAAATACAAAAAAAAGATATCAAACTGTTAGGTTCAAAATCGCTCCCGCTTAGGTTAGGTTAGGATTAATGCATATTTATACTTAGAAAAGGGTCTTATGAAGAGATTTTGTATCGCCGAATATGTATTTTTGCATACGAAACATTTCGACAGACCGCGGTTCGATGAACATATTGTACGATGTCTCGTCACTGTCATCTTGTGACTCGTCCACGATTGAAATAGTAAATAAATTTCGGTTAGCTTTTATATTGCGGTTACAATATTGTTTCGGTCACAAGATGACGCTCGTTTAAACACGCGGAGAATGTTGAAACATCAACGTTCCGACGCTGCGAATATGTTCCTCGGCAACTCGCTCGTCGACCATTCCAAGATAATATAATGTTCAAATAATCGTTGAATTTTAAATTATCGATAAATCCAATTGCGTCGTAATTGGCTGATTTATGTTTCGTTAATCCTTTTGACAGTTCGATTGCAATCGAGCAATGAATGAATAGTATTACATTAGCGTGGAGTCGAGGAGCGAGCCAGCACCGCCCAAACAAACTACTAGTCGAGTGTGAATCTGAACCCAATCAACCGGATCGTTGTATTAATGAAATTGATACGCTTTCGAAGGAAAATGTAAAAATTGTCGTCGTTCTAGAAAATTGTATGTAAATTGTAAACTTAAGATTCGGGAGGGTCGGTTGGACATCGAGAACGCTTTAGTGATTTAGAGTTTGTATGATTGTGTAAATGTTACAAATGATATTTAAAAAATATTTAATTGAACGATTACTTTAATTATAATATAATATGTATGTATAGTGAGGCTTCCTCCTAGAGCTTTATGGATGTGGTTTTAAGTATACGGAAAATGAACATACTCACTATGAAGATAAGTTACACGTCTTTTGCTTCGGGGCTTCGCGGCGGGGTCGGNGGCTCGGCGGGGTCGGCGGCGAGTCTGTTATTTTTTCCCTTATAACTAACGTAATAAGGGTCAAAAGATTTCATATACTCTGCTGCTGACTGTTACTAACCTGTTTAGATGAAACATTGAGGTTATACAAGTATATTTGATGTTTCCCCTCGACAGTCCAAAGCTGACCGCATCCGGAGCCCTTCAACTTTAAAAGTATTCGGCTAAAGTCAATTGTTATTCGTGTGATGTTTATCATAATGATAGCTAAACATTTCTGCATTTATAAACATACATTTGTTCGGAGGTTTGAGTTATACGTAATGCTATAGTGGTGCTAGTTAGTATGTTCCACCGTTGTATAAATTAGAATTCGACGATCAATGATAAATGGTGTGTCATATTCGGAGCATTATTTGCAAATTGCGGACAACGTAGCGGTGTCATAATTTGCAAACAAAACTATGCACGCGTTTGCTAGAATTAAAATCTTAAAGATGTGACGTGCAGTCCGTTATTATTGATCGTGAATTTCAGTCGATATACAGATCAGTCGCCGTGTTCCTAGTTTTCATTCGTTTCGGTGCTGATTCCGAATTTATTTCAAATTATATTGTTTTGTATAATTTATTTGAAATTGTCCTTTTGGTTATGCTAGTGGTGCCAAAAATACGAGGTGCCAATACGATAGTGACCATAGTTCCGTCAAGGTGCGTATCGCCACCTCCAGCTTGTCTTAACACGTTCGCTTTAAACTCATGACACGATTTATGCAATTTAATTTATGAAATCGATAAAAAACATTTATCATAATCGATGGGAATGGCATTTTTCTTTGATCCTACAATTCCAATTGCCTTTTCTAAGTCGCTACGATGTGTACGAGGTATCAACTGTGTATTTAGATTTTTCCAAAACTATTATTATTTTTATTTTATAAAACATAATTTCAAAGACAAATGCCAGTCCCATCGACGAAATCCGAACGCAAACTTACACTACATTCAAATAACATTTTATTCAAACGATGTGTTAGTTGACAAATTAGTTGTTCCGTCCTCGCTGTCTCGTGGACTATAGTCTTACTGTTGTGGATATAGTTGTATCATTTCTGTAGGTATTGCGGAGTTATGTTTTGCTGTGGAAATCGCGTTGCACGATCTTTTACGTTAATTTTTAAAACAGTGTTATAGGAGCTTATGTTTTTTATAGGCGACAGAATTGTATAGCGCCCTTTTATTTGATGATGTCCCCTAACCATGAGGTTGGTTGTCAGCTGTACAGTGTAAGGTCGTGCACGCGAGAGGAGTGCCGAGCCCGAAGCAGCTGCGAGAATCGTCGGCTGGTCACCTTGTATGCCTTCAGTGAGTTACTGTACCACTTTATTGTAGTGATGAACTTTGGTTTTCAAATCCTAATGAAAGCTATCGTTTTAGCGATCACCAATGAGGGTTTTCGCTATTGAAAAATCCGCCAGATGGCAATACAAATGCTGCGTGATTGGTGGATTTTGACATATCTGTCAATGTCATGTCAAAAATAACCAATCATGCAGCATTTGGACCTCGCGTCTACATATTGCCATCTGGCGGATTTTTCAATCGCGAAAACCTTCATTGACGTCACTGTCATCATGTAAACGCCATTGGTGTCATCTGGGGGCTTATTGCGTGTTTACATCAAACATCTTCGATTGCGACTGCGTAAACAAATGACAATGTGTGACAGATTGCACAGCGTCCCTAGCGGACACTTTCAAGAACTAAAATCTTCATAGATTTTTTGACGTGCTCGCTTGACCTTTGATGTAAGCTCACACTAAGCCTAAGCATTTAGTGTAGAAACTATAGCCCTCTGTGTCTTGCATTGATTATTTTTGTAATTTTGGTTGACTTTATTGTGGAAAACGGAAATTTTAAAGTAGATAGATTAGTATTGTTGAAGATTG